ATATATATATATATATATATTAGCACAAGAATTTAAACTAGCAAATAAATCCTCAAAATCAAATAACGTCAAAGATAAAAATGTTATTCAATTAATATTATTAGTTGTTACATCTCGAAAGAATTCTAATGAAAATTATTTGAATTTATATGCGAAATTTATGATAGAAAATAGTCATTCTATAAGCTTCTATCATTTAAGTAAATATTAAAGGTAAAATTATTACTTAATCAATATTACAAATTATTGTATGAATTATAAAATTCTTATTTTCATTTAAAATCCTAAAAACCCTAAATGGTCCTATTAATTAAGTAAGAAAAAAAACCCTAAAATGTTAACATATATATATATATATATATATATATATATATATAACATAAAACTAAATGAAACAAAATTAAATAATTGGAAATGATTAAATTCAAACTACCAAATTACTAATCTAGTTAACATAAAAATTAAATTAGAAAGAGATTGGGTCTTGAATGTTAAACCCCTTAACACGGATCTAAGGTAAAAAAGAAAAAGAAAACACACCATATACTTACTATATATAAACGAGGCATTCAATATATATAAAATGATAGACAAGAAATGCAATGAAACGAAAAATTAGAGTTAAATAAAGAATCTAATACTGCAACGTGAAACTAATAATTTATTCAACTTGTGATTGAAATTGATGTCCAACAAATGATGATGTGTGTTATGGACTTTTTTTTTTTTTTTTTTGTGAAAATAAGGGGCACAGCCCCCACAATCAAAATTAAAATCCCCGAGGGAAAATAGTAGAACTTACATAAGCAAGAACAACTAAAGAAATAAAATGCATAACATTTTCAAAGACATGTAAATTATCTGTAAGGCTTCTCCCATAGTTAGCTAACCCATCAGCAACTTGATTAGCTTCACGAAGAATATGCCTCCATTCAAAGTCACCACCCGCAGCAACAAAGGAAAGGATACTTTGGACCAGACTAAAACATGGGTGGCGCGAAGAGCACCCGTTCCGGAGAAGACCAATAGCTAGCAGGAAATCTGATTCCACCACCAATTTTGTAAATCCCCTGTTCCAAGCAGTAGCTATACCAATGTAAATGGCTCACAGTTCAACCATCAACTCACAACAGAAACCGATCTTGGTTGCAAAGGAAAAGATAATTGTCCCATGATGGTCACGACATACACCTCCTGCTGCAACACTCTTATCTTCATGAAGACTAACCGAGGCATCACAATTCAACTTATATATCCCAACAGGTGGATGTACCCAAGATACTACCTGTTGATCCTCTTATTAGTTGTTGCAATGGTTTGACATCTAAACAAGGGTATACTATCCTGTAAGATATTCACTTGGGCAAGAATTCGAGAGACTAGTTCATGAGGATGAGAAGAAGAGCCCTGAAAGGTGACCCTATTCCTATACTGCCATAGGATATCCAAAGTAACAGCAAAGATCAAGCACCATTCACGACCAACAACTAGAGCCTTATCGTTGAGATTTGACAGCATCCAATGTTTAATATCCATACCAAAGAAATCCCGATGTTTTGATCCAAGTAGCAACAAATACCAAATAGCCCAGGAAATTGCACACGATCGAAACACATGATCCACCGATTCCACATCATCCCCACATCTCATGCATAAAGCATCTATTGTTATGTGCCTAGCCCGCCTGATTTCATTCGTGAGTAATGCATTAGCAGCAATTTTCCATAGTAATAAATGGACCCTCTCCGACCCAAGCCAGCACCAAATCCTTTTAAATAACAAGTCATTTTCACCTACACACTCTTGAGTAACATTACTATATGCTGAACTAATAGAAAATTCACCGGTGCTTGCCCCTCTCCAAGTCAAAGAATCAACTCCTCGAGATGCAAGAAGGGGGGGGGGAAGGAATAGCTCGAATAACATTCAACACTTTCGTGGAAAGGTAAGGCCTAAAGGCTAGAAAATTCCAATCACCATTCCTTTCAAAAAACTCACACACCTTTGGTAGACTCTCCGTCGAGGGCATGACATGAGCTGCCTCGGCCAACTTACCATAGCCTGGGATCCAGTTATCATTCCAAAATGAAACCAAATGCCCATCTCCAATATTCTAAGAAATCCCTTGAAGAAAATAATGCCAAACATTACAGATCCCACTCCATAAATTTGAATCGGGTCTGTTCGAATTAATAATAGGGAGAATAGACTCCCCATATCGATACTTACACCGAATAAGTTTAACCCAAAGGGCATCTCTCTACGGGTACAAAGATCCCAACCACACTTCATCATGTAGGCCATATTACATTCCTTTGACAATCGTAGTCCCAAACCACCGCAGGCCTTTGGTCGACAAACCTTTGTCTACTTTATAGTATGAACCTTTTTGTGATTTTCAGTATCTCCCCATAAGAAACTTCGACACTTCTTATCCACCTCAGCAGTGACTGACAAAGGAAGATGAGTGGACTGCATAGCATAATCTGGTAGTGCTTGTAACACAGATTTGACTAAAGTTAGTCTTCCAACAAATGAGAGTTGATGGGACTTCCAATTTGATAATCACTGATTTATCTTAGACACGATGAATTGAAAGGAACTTCTAGAAACTCTCTTATGAAGAATCGAGATGCCAAGATACTTACCCAAATCAGAAGTATGTTGAAAACCCATTTTCTGACTTATAGCTTGTATTCTATGCCACCCAACATTATTAGAGAAGAAAATTCGGGTCTTTTCACTACTAACCTTCTGCCCAGAACTTTTACAAAAAAGCTCAAGAACCTGTATGATAACATCTACTTGCTCCTCGCTAGCTTCTGCAAACAATAGGAGATTATCTGCAAAGGCCAGGTGAGAAAGCTTAGGGGCTCGCCGCGCAATCTGAGTTGGCTTCCAAAGCTTAGTCTCAACTACAACTTGAATAAGGTGAAAAAGTCGCTCGATACAAAGGACAAACAGGTATGGTGAGATTGGATCTCCTTGTCTGATTCCTCTCTCAGGCTTGAACTCCTCAAGCATTTCTCCATTCCACAACACACGCATCTTGGAAGAGGAGATACAATGCCAAATTAGCTCAACATAATTTATAGGGAAACCCACTCCATAAAGAGTATCCCGAATATAAAATTCCAATTAAGTCGATCATATGCTTTCTCAAGGTCAACTTTAATTCCCATCCACCCTGTAGCACCTTTTTTGTTCTGCATAGAATGGAAAACTTCTTGAGCAATAATGATATTATCTTTACTGTGTCTATTTGGAATAAAACTAGCATGACATGGACCCACTAGCTTTTCCATTAGCGGCCTTAATCGACGAGAAAGAATTTTAGTAACCACCTTATATGAGACGTTACACAAACTAATTGGCCTGAAGTATTTCAACATAGAAACGTGTTCTATCTTAGGAATTAGAGAGATGAATGTATCATTAATCTCCTGGAGCCTTTGGGGATTTCTGAACATATCCTGAACAAGCTTAACTAGAGAAGCACCAACCACACTCCATTGAGTCTAATAGAAAATTGCTTGAAAGCCATCTGGACCTGAAGATTTGAAAGTGCCCATACTGATCCTGATAGACAATGTCCTTTGTAAATAATTGCTTATAAAAGTTGGTGACTAAGTTTTTCAACACAACTGGGTCAGTCACCCAAGAACCATCAACTAATTGAATGGCGTCCACCTTACCACGTCTCGTCCTAATAATAGTAGTCCCATGAAAATAGGAGGTCTTGCGATCTCCCAACATCAACCATTTTGATCGAGATTTTTAGAACCACAACAATTCCTCCTGAAACAAGATAGCCTCATACTCCTTCCAAGTCTCCCGCAACAACTCTTGCTGACTAGATTTGCCACCACTAGGTATAGCCTTTCCAAGGTTTACACCAGTCACTGAATTCCTCGTCCGAAATAGGAATCTCTGGGAATCTTTCCTTGTCCTCCTTGGAAATAGGAGGTGGAGGGACTTCATCATCTGGCTGTCCAAAGCAACATCCATCAAAGCAAGAAAAGGGAACAGCCACATCATTGTTCAAGAGTTTTTCCATATATGAAGTCCCCTCAAAACGACCCTCTATTGCCTCCGTTGAATCGACCCTTGCTGGTGACTCATCAACACCCTCGTCATTGGTTTTTCGTTTCACTTTTCTCGTACTGCGAAGGAGGAGATCATCCTCCTCTTTGGACGACTCCAATGGAACCCTAGCAGAGCACTCACTTTCATTTGGCATTTTTTTTGTGCTATGGACTTCTGACCAACAGTACCACACTTTCTAAATGCAGTGTAAAACCTTTTTTTTTTTTTTTTTTTTTTATTTCTATCTCTCTCGTCAATGCTTTTTTTCTTTTTTTCTGTCAGTATATGTTCTCTTCCTTTTCTGATGTTGGTCAATGGTATTTATAACTACATGTAGTCTATATTTGTCACAAAAGATAGACTTTTTTATTTATAAATATATTGTTTTTATTTGATTTTTAGATTTTTAAACAAAATTATAATTAATTTTAAAAAAAATAATTTAGTTTAGTTTTTAGAATATAAAATATATATTTAATATTTAAATTAAATTTTTTTAATATATTGTTTTTTTAAACAAAATATTTTAAATAAATGTAAAAAATAAAGATAATGTTAAAAAGAAAATAATTAATATAATAAAGAAATATAATTTAAAAATATTTTAATGTATTTTAAAATTTTAATAATGAAATTATATTTTTAAAATATACAAAATTTAATATTATAATT